AACCGGGTCGGGTGTGTTCCACGTTCTGGGGCCTGTTTTCCACGTTTGGACGTCCACCCTCCAGGACGGGTTTGTTCCAAGTTCTGGGGCCCTTAAGGGTGTGGCCGTCCTGGAGTGTGGTCCATCTTGAGACATGGCCATGAACCGCTGCCCAGCCCGGATCAAAGTAGATCTCACCTTGGAAGCATTTGCATTTGCATTCCCAATCTGAATGGCGACCACTTGTATTTATTGGGGTGTGCAGGAAAACCAACAGGAAGCCGATCATTTTGGGGTCCCCTATCCACACGTACACATTTAAGAACAGGACATCATGTAGGTAACCTTGTGCAGGAGATCTGTTGCTCACTTTGATTGAGTTTATTATTTGGGCAATGTTTCAAAGGCGTATCCAAGCAACATGTAGCGTCTCTGCGGGGTACGTCATTGTCGTGGCAAAGAACACTTTAGAAGTGAGATGACCAACTCGAGTGAGACAATGAGCGTCTATTCCCTTCACCCGAACCATAAGTATCTGCCCCTCCGAGGCCTGCCACATCAGACATATTGCGTATGCGTATTCGAGGGTTTCTGGGGGAGGTTCTTGCCCATTTGGGGGCGCAACAAGCTTCGCAAGATTTCTTCTTCAGTATTCACGGCGTTGCGTTCATTGCATCTCAAACGTAGAAGCAAGCTGGACGGGTTCCGCGGCTGGACGTCCGGGAAGGGGACCATGACTTGAGATACTTGTCAAAGCAAGCGAGATATGTGTCTTCTGCAGTGACCTTGAACATCTCTTTGCTTGTTTTGCAAGCAAATCAAGCGGCTTGTAAAACCAACTTGTATGTACTTAGGGGAGGTTCTTTCTTCCATGAAACAATGAATTCATATACATGCATGATGTCCTGTACATTTACACATGCAGCAAAGTGCGTTACGCTACGCTAAGTTACATTCCCTTGAGGTACATGATTTTGCATCCGTCCATGCTGCATCCATGCATGCTAACATTCACTTACATGTGCTTACATGCAAGACACAGGGATACGTCTGGCCCTGGCGTGTGCGCTAACTCAAGGCGGGGGTCCTATACTTTCGGGGCACCAAAAGCCCGGGTGACCTGCGCCAAGCGCCAGGATCTCTGCAGGCAGCGGGAAGATGCGCCGGGAAGCACAGATGCAACGTCTCGAGCTGAAGTCCCAGGGGTGACCCCACGAACCAAATGGCTGTGGGTCAAAACCAATGGTACCATTTTGGGGTAGGTGCACCACCCATTTTAGGACCTATTTTAGTTGGGATTGGGATGTTCACTGGGGGTATGGGATTTTGACCCATGGCCAAATGACACCAAATCCCTTTCCAGGTCCCTGAAGCGTGTGTTTGTTTCTTTGCTGCGAAACATAGTCACCTGGTCCAGGGGCATGCTGAGAACTGTCAGCTCTAATTCGCGTTGGATTCAGCTGTGCCGGACCCTCTAATCGTTGGCTTCCTGTCAAGCGAAACAACCAACGAACGTCATGGATCTCCAATGGGGGCTAAGGGGGTGGACTTTCCCTGGCTAAGCCTAGAACAAGCAAGAATAAATCACTATGTGATCGAATCGGTGATAGCCCTCTTCGCCAAAGCCCCCCTTTGAGGTGCATGAAGTCCATGACAAAGAGTCCCCTTTCCTCTAAGCGCTTAACAAGTTTCATTGAATGCCGAAACAGGTAAGGAAATCCACACCAGTGAGGGACGCAGAGGAGACGTGCTGAAAGGTTCTCACTCGATCAGCTGTCCGGACCAGTCACGACAGCAACAATCGTTTCCGGCCGTGGCTTTGGAAGAACTATGATTCTGGATGATTCTGATTGATACACAACAATATTTCACTCAAAATGGGTCTGCAAAAGCATCAAAAGAACATCCCATGCATTTCCAGCCCTCCCTTTGCGGAGTGCAGGTGCCGTTACGCGGATGGCCGCAAGCGCAAAGCGGCGGCCTTCTTGGAGGACGACTGGCGGTTGGTCGCTGGCGCTGGCGTGTTTTGCTTGGTTACTTGGTCCCCCAGTAGAGCCCTTTTACCGTTTCTTTTGTGGCGGAGGGTTCTACGAAAATCGACTACAGCAAAAAGGGTGCCCTTATTCGAACCTCAAATCTGGAGGACCTAGGTTAGTTGGTTGCTTGCTTGGTTGCTCACTTGGTTGGCTGGGTCTGGGTCCATTGAAATGGGGCTGTGGGGTGCTTCAACATTGCTTGTTTGGCCTCTTTGATATTATATTTTGAGAAGACCGGTTTGGTGGTGAGCAATCATGTCTTGACTTGTTTTGGCCCATCCTCTCTGGAAGTGAGGGCAGTTCGATCCCCATGTTGCTCACGCGCCCAGAGGAGTGTGTCTCCAAGTTTCCTTTAGTCGCGTGGGCGTAGGCAGGCGCGTAGTCAATTTGGTCTGCGCAAGTGTTGTGGCGATTGGCGCATGCATGGCGGAAGCGTGACGTAAGCAAGCAATAAATGAGTTGCCCTACATTGCCACAAATTACTGCCCAATTGGGGAGCCTCAGGTGGAACAGCACCAAGGCGGGGATTTGTGTCCACCAACACTCTTCGCCATTTGGTGGCTTAGTTGAAGAGAAACCGGCGGATTGTCGGCTCTTTAGTCTCTGATTTTTCCCGAGCTTCCCTTTAAGCCGCCAGTTGGAGGATGCAGTATTTTTGAGGGTGTGAACCAGTCACAACACCAGGACTTCTCCTGAAGGCGATCGATTTGCTGCTCGCTGCTCGGCGGCGTTTTCCCACTCAACCCACCTGCGACTTGTGGCGAATCACAACGCCATTTTCTCACGCCTTGGATCAATGTATGCCATTGGCCCTTCTGCCTGAAATTCAGGGATTTTTGTTTGCTTTGCGTTGGCATCAACCTCATAACGTGTGGGGTGGGGTATATTGCGATCGCCGCACAGGAGTACGTCATCAGGTGTAGTTTGTATAGGTAGCGTGCGAGTTGGTTGGTTCGTTGTGCAAGGTTCCGTTTGTGGAATGATCTGAGTGCGAGCCTGAGGATGTTGCTGCTTTTTAGAGGGTTATTTCGACAAGCCCCATACGACTGACCTGGATTAAGCAACCAGGTAGAGCACACGCTCTCCCACCAATCAACCAAAGGTTCAGCAATCCTCAGCTTCTCATCAAGCAGGAGTTGCACAAATCAAAGTCAGCGTAGTCAAGCAAGAAACCGTCTAGTTACTAGTTGTTTTGGGGAACTGCCGGTTCAGACATGCTTTTTTCTATTGGGTTGTAATTTGTGTTGTTTCTTTTTTTTGTTTCACAAGTTTCCACTGTACTGCTATGTTTGCCATGCTCGGGGATCTTCCTTTTCAGAATTGGAGTGACAGGTGCGGGAAAATCCATCGCAGGTAAAGAGAATGGCCACGAGAGCCATGACACGCCACATGAAATCTAGGTTTCGCATTTTACCCGTACGCGCACGCACGCTATGTGCATGTGTAGTTTACGGCTCGGTGCCGTTTTGGGCAGGTTCCAGAAGGAAAACCATCATTTGTTGAGTCTCATTATTTTGCCATATACCCACATTATAGATTCCCAATACCTTGAAAGAACGTAGCTGGGGCAGTTTTTTTAACAGAGCCTTGGTGATCTTGGCCCTTTTACCGTTGCGGATGGAAGACATATGTCAGGGACCCTAAACCAATGCTAATACACGGGCTGACAGCTTGCACCAAAGGACAACACTGGCATCCGATAGAACCAATTTGTTAGGACCCATTTATGCAATCGCATGCTGATTCCAAGACCCCGTTCTAGAACTGGAAGCCTCTGGCCTTCTGCTACCCATTCGAGAAGCATGTGAGGCCCCGATGTTAGAAGCAAGTCTGAGGCAGCCTGTGGCATGCTATTGGCTTCTATCTAAACACCAACCCAAAGGCGTCCTCAAAACACGTAGGACACCTTCCCATATGTTTTGCAGGGAAAAGGCAACCAGTTTCTGTAAGATACGTGTGATCGAAGAGGCTTGCCTTGCTTAGTTGAAGGTGCATTGTGCGTCACGTTGGCAGCCACCACCTCGAGTTGAAACTCATGAGCTGCAGGCATTGGACAGCATTCTTCGCGCCGAACGCGCCCAACGTCGGCGAAAAAGGGGGCACCGAGCGCTGGCGGCGCGTTTAGCCTGGTATCAGCACCAACACCTTCCAACGTGAAGCCCAAAAGTTCTCGTTTGACGCCCGAACTTTTTAGACACCCTTTTCTGGGAAGGAAAACGGAAAACAGAGGCCCACCAACGGGAAAGGTTCTGACATACGGATACGAGGTTCTCATCGAGGGGTTCGAGAAGCCTTCATGTGGAAATTTGCGGGAACTCCCAATCTCTCCTCCCCATTGGCCAAGGCACGGGTCCGACCCTTGGCATGAGTGTTCTCAGTTGTGGGCAAGGGGTTTTGCGCTGAGCTTTTCGAGCCTTGTGGTTCTGGGGTAGTGTTCAGGGCGCACCTATGTTCCTTTGTTCACGCTGTTCTTAAACCCCAAACAGGGGTCCACTTCTTTTTCTATCAGCGTCGCTGAGCAACTGGTATCGACACCTGGGCACATGGGTGAGGGCATCCTTTTGGCCTATGGTTTGAAGGGGCATGAATGCCCACCTAAATGATGTCCCCCAGGCAATCCCCAATGACAAATCATGCTCAGACAGGTCCAGGGGCCCTGACCCATTCAACCACCAACTGAAGCGAACCGGCTTTGCTTTGTCCAGCCAGCCAAAGCAGGAAAACTTCAAGGTTGTGTTTCTGGGGCTCCTGATGAGTGTTGCCAAATGAGGAAAACGCGCGCACAACCTCAAACCCACAGACGTGATTCTGGGAGAAGAAGCTCTATACATCGCATGGCTATTTCTCATATGCTGGACTTTAGCGAAAAGATCCCCCGTTGGGCATGGACTCCGGCATGTTTTTTTCTTTTTCAGACCCAACATTGGAAAGGGCGTGGTGCGATATTTTCAGAATTGTCATTTTTGCGTCCCTAAGACTATTCAGGTTTCTGTGACGTCCTGCGGAACGAGGTCAAGACCTGATGCCTGGGTTGCAGTCGTTCACTTCTTTTGGTTTGATAACCAAACTGATATACTCCTGGTCTTTGGGCTGATTTCTGAGGTCTCATCCAACTCTATGTTATATATGAAATGGGTAATTAAGCACATTTGAGCAATCCATTTGTGGTGTACAATATGGAGTTTGTCCCAATGCCACCATAGGCACATTTGTTTGCAACTTGTGATGTTACAGCGAATCGCAACTCTTCTGGTGGAGGAGGTTGTGGGATGTAGCGCGTAAAGCCTTGGCTGCGATCGAGTTGGAGCTTTAGACTTTGGCTTTCTCGAGATTGTTTCCAAGGTCAAAACAGCAACAAGTTAAAACTTGTTGGTTTTGAGCTACAGAGCTGTCTACAAGCCGGTCGGAGCCTATGACTCCTAGCTCCAAGTATCCATCGCCAAAGCTCGAGGGCAAACACACGTGCCCAAATGCACCAAGCACCTGGCCTTGGGAAGAAGCACTCAATTGTTTCATGAAGATAAGACATATCAAACCCACTTTGGTCCATTATATTATACGTTGTAGTTCTTTGTTCTAAGCAGCTGCCTTGATGTTGTGACCTGTACTTGGCGCCTTTCGTAGTCAGATCGGCTCTTTCAATGAGAGCCCTTCAAGTTTGCTACTGTATGTGTTCAGCTATTTGTTCTTCACAGGACCAAACTTTAAGGCATTCCCTGTCAGCTTTCAAGTTAGCGGCGGTGTTCCTGCGGCTGGTTCGTAGGGTTCTTTGGTCCGCTTTGCTTAGAGTGACAACATTTGAAGGTCAATTCGTAGCATAAATGTTAGTAAGAACAGACCCAATCTCAAAAGGTGCAGATGCCCTTTTGATTCTGCTGGTTTGGGTCGACTTCTATGCCAGGTTTCGGCTGTGACCTAGAGTGGGATGAGCGAGTGCTTGATCCGCCTTGTAGCCATCAAAGCATGAATCAAATCAAAGGGGTTGTTTCTCTGAAATTTGATCAGCCGCAACGTGGTCCTTCAGGAGTTTTGCCTTCCAGCATCAGTGGCAGGAAGGATTTGATCGTCCTCAGTAACTTCGAGAACAGTCAATTGAGGCCAGAGCTTGTACACTTAAATGTTTGCCACACCCTGCTGCAGTGGTAGCGTGTGTATTTCTGTGCACGCCCAACTTTTACCAACAGAGATCTTCTGTCTGAAGGCGTCTGCAAATTGTCCCGAGATTTCAACCTCCCGAACAGCACACTGAAATTTGGTGACGATGAGTTCAAAGTTATCTGCATAGCTGTATGCGGTCAGGTCCGCACACTGGTCCTGCAAGTAGTTAATCCACGTTGCTCCTAGCAATTGCGACAGGCTTGCAACCCTTGCCAACCAAAAACTTCAGAAGTTGGCATCGACTTGGGTTGCGCAACCAGACGGGCACTGCAAGAAGCGCGACCTCGGGAAACAATCGCCGCCGAACGCCAGGGAAGCATGAGCTTTGTTTTTGCAGAGTTGAGTGGTCTAAGTTTTGCAAGCAAACGCGGGAGATGGCTATGTTAATGTTTTACAGAACCCTTCGCCCGCGCCCATCCACCGCCCCGACACAAAATTAGCGCGCTTGCGGTCTTCCTGGAACGGCGCCAGCGAGCGCGTCGTTCTTGCGCTTCTGTCAGCTAGCTCCCCTCCGCCAGGAACCAAGATGGCAGCTCCCGGCATACGGAATGCTACGGTCTGCCGCGCTTTCTAGACTGGAAAGGCTTTCCGCCGTGATCTGTTCCAGCTTAGCAAAGAGTTGCGCTTTCGCACCGATGCGTTATAAGGAACAGCATGCAGTTATCGTACCAAGGCTCAACCGCCTGCCTCCAGCCTGCAGGTGCAAGGCAGATGACGAGTCCCCGAAAGTGCCCCGCGCGAAGAGGGCAAGGAGAAAGAAACAGGCGGGGCAGGGGCTCGTTTGGCCCCATGTGCTTTTCCTGATTCTAAAACAATGTTCGGAAATTGTCTTTGGCTTGCGGTGCATGGATTCCAGGTGATTCGCACAGGGCCATTTGCACGGGGGTTCCGTTGCATCACGCAACAGCCCAGGCCTGACAACGCGAGGCATCTTGCGTTCTCGAACCTGTCACCTTAGCTTGGGGAATCTAGCTAGGCAGTTCGTCTAAGATCCGAAGCACGATTGTTGAGCACATTCGGAAACAAACAAAGCGTGCAGAATGCGACACTTTTTGCGCAGGAACAACCTGGCGTCCTCTTTGCTGGTGAGGCGTGGCCTGAGCGCTGGTTGCGTTCGTTGGGAAGCTTTGCCGTTTGATGTTATTGACCCACAATTCTCGCTGTTTGGCGGGCATCAAGAATCAGTCCCAAGCGGAGGTTTGGGGGGTCTTCCGACGGTCTTCCCATTCTTTGTTGAAGACGTAGCAGGGTTCAAACCCCCAAGCTACGAATCCAATCCACCACTTAAGGGTTTCCTGACATGCTGGTTTCCGACGAGCCGCGTTGCCAAAGCCCTTGTGTCAAGCCGGCGCAAGTTTTTTTGGGCCCCGCAATGAGACAACCGAGAAAGGGCGCCCTCCAACAAAAGACACGCTCACGCTGCCACTGTGGCCGGCGCAAATCATCGCCCTGCAGGTACCATGGCCAGCCCGGCGCCCAAGAGCAGGGGCTAAGCTGTGTTGGTAGACTAAATTCCTAAACTAGCCATGATATAGAAACATCCCTGGGCATCGGCTATTGATTTAAATCAATGGGAAGTTCATGTTCTGAATTGATATTGATTTTTGTCATTTCTATTGATTAAATCAATATTTGAAGTATGTTGTGTTTTCCCAAATTCTGTTGATATTAATTTGTCATTTTCATCTTGCTTTCTATTGATTTTTTTTTGACAATTCTATTGATGTGAGTTTGGGTCCTGTGCCTCTGGAACTTGGGCTCAAATCCTAGAATGCTTGTGCACATGGGCAACCCTTGATAAAAGGGATTGCTTGCCAGCGCCCTTGGTAAAAGGTATAGTGCCCTTGGTAAAAGGTCACTAGTGCCCTTGGTAAAAGGGTCATGAGTGTTGGCAAAGGTGGGGCCAGGCACACCCCCAAACCTCACATAGACCCAGGACTGCTCCTCAAGGAGATTTCCAAGCACTCAGGCTTGATTCAAGATCTTGGCAGCTATGAAAAAATCTCTAGGTCACAGGCATGTGACCCAAAAGGCCTGTGGGTCTGCTTGCCCTTGCTAAAAGGGCTGGTTGAACTGTCACCCATATGTGAGATTCATGGGGCTTGCCTCAGGCAAGCTATGTTTCAAGTCTTGCTGGGTGAGCCCTCCTTGAACAGCACCAAATGGAATGGATCAGTGTGGGTGGGGCTGAAGGTGGAGCGAATAACAATCCTCCTGTCCCACATGAGGCGGCTCCTGGGGCAAAATGAGATGCAAGCATGTGCCTCCAAGCTGACTGGGGCTGAATTCCTGCAGTTGCAGGAAGTTGTGAAGATGATCCAGCAGAAACAGCAAGTGGCAGCAGACCCCACCCTTGCTGAAAGGGAAAAAGGAAACCCCACCCTTGTTGAAAGGGAAAAAGCAGACCCCGCCCTTGCTGAAAGGGAAGCATCACACACACCCCTTCCTGAAAGGCCAGAAGACGCCAGAAAGCTCAAGAAAGAGGTTTCTGAGGCAACTGTTGATTCTGAAGGCTTTCCATTGGCCTTACAAACGCCTGACAAAAGCCAAAGCCCCTTGGTAAAAGGGGATGGGGTGGACAAGGGGGGGAATGATGCAACCCTACAGCAGCCACCCTCTTTCAAAAGGAGGAGGAAAGGCAGCTTAGCAACACAACCAGCAGCCACAGAAGAGGGTAAACAAAGGTTAAAAGATGCCTTGGGCATTGGCAAGGCCAAAAAGGCAAAGACCAAAGCAAGGAACCACAAAGCAAGTTCTTCCACAAAACCCTTGGTAAAAGGGAAAGGCTCCAGAAAGAAAAAGCCATTGGTAAAAGGTGCAAAGCCCTTGGTAAAAGGTGCAGCTGTAAGAAAGCCATGGGCAAAGCTCTATGTCACCCAAACTGCAAAGCCACCATGGAGAGCTTACATAACAGGCACTACAGACCCAAAGGGGAAGCCAAAACTAGTTGTGGAAACAACAAACAGGAACCATCCAAAGTACAAAGAGATCTTGCAGAACATCAAGCAGCAGTTGCAAGAGGAGCACCTCACAAAGGAAGAAGCTCTGGAGTTGAGGGCAAGCCTCTACAAAACACACCCTTGCTAAAAGGTGACAATGTGAAAGTTTTAATGGCATCACCCTTGGTAAAAGGGAAGGGTTACCTGTACAGCTATACCCTTGGTAAAAGGGGCAGAGCACAGCAGCTTGGTGTCAAAAACAGTGTTGCCCCCTCCCCCCCCCCCCCCCAGGGTGAGACACATATGTTGTTTTTTTGTTTGTGCCCCAAGGGTAGTTTAAATGGACTGCCTTCTAATGATGCCCAAACACATGTTCACCTGTCATTTTTGAGGGTTCCCTGTCAACATGTTTTTTTCTTGGGCAGTGATGCCACATCCTTGAGCCAAAGACCCTGCAGCCATTTGCATATGCTCAAGCTTGCGTGTTTGCTAGTTTTTTGCTGTCCTTGGTAAAAGGACCAGCCTTGGTAAAAGGCCAATGCCTGGCTACACATGGCATGGCTACACATGGAACAACAAAGGCAGGCCCTCAGGCACTGGCACAGTGAGCAGGGCAAGAGCAGAAAAGTTCAAGAAAAAGGGCGAAGAAAGAGTAGCCAGAGAAAAAGCTGAGGCTGAGGAAAAGGCCAGGCAAGAAGAGCAAGAACAATCTGCACCCAGCTCCCTTGCAAAAAGGGAAGAAGAGAAGCCTGCAGGGCCCAGCACCCTTGATAAAAGGGAAGAGGGGCAGCCCAGCTCCCTTGCTAAAAGGGAAGAAAAGAAGCCTGCAGAGACAAGCACCCTTGATAAAAGGGAAGAAGAGAAGCCTGCAGAGCCCACCCTTGTTAAAAGGGAAGAG